TTTCAATTATTAAAAGTACATATGTTGTTAGAAAATTATTAAATAAATAAAATTTACATTGTTGATAATTAAATTAAAAACGTCCTGATGGTTCGTGACGTTGAACCTGAAACACAAAAAAATAGAACGCGAATAAATATAAATTATTATAAATATTTTTTAAATTAATAAATTTTGATTAAATTAAGAAAAAATGTACTGTGAACAACTCTCTCTAAATCTGAATTGGTAAAAATTTTAACTTTTAATTAGTAAATCATTTTTTGCTTTAGAATTAGTAAAATTTAACAATTTAATACTACAAAAAAAAAATTTGTTTTTACTAACGAATTAGTAAAATTATACTTATTTAAAAGCAAAAAGTGAGTTACTAATTCAAATTAGTTAAAATTTTTACTAATTCAGATTTAGAGAGAAATTTATTATTATTATTATTATTTTTGATGAAAGAAAGAAATATTTTGAAAAAGAAAAAAAATTAAACAAATCATTTTTCCGATTGATAAAAGATGAAAATAATTATATTGGAAACTTACTGGAATTGGTTTCTGCCACGTTGGTGGTTTAAGAGGGTTAGAAGGTCTTGGAAAACCAGAATGTGGGAAACGTGAATTTCCCATTTGTGCTTGTGTAACTGCTACAAATGCTAAAATTAGCATTACAATGGACAAAAAAATATTCTTCATCTTGATGATTTTCTTAGTGATTTTCAACTAAAAAATAAAAAATTCAATTTTATATTTTTATGAATTTATATCAAACTAATAATATATTAAAATACCAAAAAATATTCAAAAGCTATACACATTCAATTAATTTGAGCTCGAAAAAATGTTCGGGTCTAATGGACTTATAATGGTGCCAGTTAAGGGTTAAAATTATACTATTTTGAAAACACAGAAAAAACGCTGGATAAATTTTGTTGCGGGTAATTTTCACCAATGCTAATTCACATAGACGGTGGCGCCCTCAACTAAGATAAAATTTGTTGCAGGTAATTTTTATACCGATTTTGGGGTAAAAATTCTACTTTTTTTTCATGTGAATAAATAAATGTTTTAAAATTAGAATTAATTAAATTATTGTTAAAATTTAATTAATTAATTAATTATACATTAATCTTGAAAACTGAAAGAGAGTATGTTTTATTATGTATAATAATAATAATAATATGAAGGTAATTGAAAAGCACTTACCTCTTGCACTGCTTTTGGATTAATCTTTCAGAATTTTCAAGTGGCAATTATATATATTATGATGTTTAATATTGGAACTCGTCTTTTATATACGTTTATTCACTCGTAAGAATAATAATCAGAATATAGTATAGTTTTGTTGCTTTATCTTGATTTACACTAGTGTGCAACCAAGCATTGATGTATGTGAATCAATGAAGTCGGGGACTTCCTCTGTTATCTCAATAATTTGCATTAAAGCTATCGTCATGAATCAATATTATTTAAATTTCTTACTTCTATGATGAATGATGTAGAGGAGAGGTTGCAAAGGCGCTAGACTTACTCTCTAAATTTGAATTCGTGAGAATACATTCACTAATTCAAATTTAGAGAGTACAATTATTGATGTGTATAGGTTTTTAATTACACATTCAATTGGTGCAATTTTTAATTGTTTTAGTCTAAAACTAATCAGCAACTAATTTTAATAGTCGTTATAAATGAAGGGGTTTTATAATTTTTTATTTCTAACTTACATTTTGTTTAAGATTATTACATATAGAATAGTGGAGAATAATTTTAAAAAATCTCGCACGCTGGGGGGAATCGAACACAGGACCCTTGAGACGCGAACCATGTACTCTGACCACACAGCTACGTTGATTCATACTCCCTAAGAATTATTAAAAAATTTTAACTAATTTTTTATTAATAACTAACTTCTTGCTTTTGAATTAGTTAAATTTTACTAATTTGAATTAGCAATAATTTTTTAAGTAAAAAGAATTTTCATGGTAATAATTGTTCTTTTTTTCATGTTTCAGGTAAGCTGAAGTTTTGAATTTATTTCCAAAAAATGTAAGTAATTATTTCATATAATTTTTCCAATGCAAATTCCAAATATATCCAAAGGGGAATTACTATTATGTATTGTTTCCTTGAACTAATTAAATTAGTATGAGGCCGAAGAATATTGAATGTAAGTCATGTTTTAAGATTCACACATAAAATTCTATTTATTATTCTATTCTTTGTTAGATTATTACATATATGTACAGTAAATAAAATACTTATGTATAATTTTGAAAAATCTTGCACGCTAGAGGGATCGAAACCAGGATCCTTAGGACGTGAGCCGTGTACTCTGACCTCATAGCCACGTTGACTTACAAGTCTTTTACCCAACACTTCTTTTTGAATATTAAGATCACCTTCTGTTTGTGATAACAAAATAACTTCATTATCTCTAAATTTTTTATATCTAATAACTTTTTTCAAATTATTAATAAATTATTTAAATAATTTAACCTTTATGGGACTGACGAGGTACCCGGGTACCTTTTGCATTTTCAAATTGATTTTTTTTATAATTTTTAAAATCGTATCGACCTAAGGTTTTTTGACATCTCAAATTTATCTATACAAAGTGTTTTTATATTATTTATAATGTACCTTTTTCATTTATTTATTCGAAAATAATAAACAAAGTTTCTTCACCCTTAAAAGGCGGACAAGGTACCCGGGTACCTCCATACCTTTTATGCAGATAAACGTAGAAATTTTTATTAAAAGATTATGATAAATTTTATTAAACAATTTTTAAATAATAAAAAATAAATTTCTTACATTTTTATATTTGATTTCATAAATAATCTGCATAAATATGTACCTGTTTTGCAATCTAGCAGATCGCCGTCTTGAACCAGTGTCGTCGTTATTCATAGCTAAATACTATGAACAAAACAATTATTATTTTCAATTTACAAAAATAGTAAATTAACAATTGTAACAAACAATATTTAACAATACTCACGTCAATTAACTACTTAGTATATCCAGAGAAATTGTCACTACACTGACGGTGTGAATGTGCTGCGCGTGGTCTTGTTTATTCTTGCACAAACACGAATTTTCGTGGAAGCGTACAATAAGTTTTCAAGAAAAGAGCGAAAATGTTAAATTGTTAATTTTTGTTAACACGTACTTTTCCTATGTTGTATTATTGCAAATAGTATAAACACGGATACTATTGAATGGAAGATCAATGAAATTGTGAATATATACAAAATACTTATACGTAATGAACAGTTTTTAATAATCAACTAATAATAATATTTTTTTATTAGCAATATTTATGTATAAATATTCATATTATATGATTTTTACTTTCATTTAAACGACCACTACACTTAAAGTTAATTGAACTGCTCATTGTGATACAAAATCTTCAAGAAATTGAACATAGGTACCCGGGTACCTCGTCCGTCCATAGAAGGTGTTTTTTTCCTCAGTCCCATAAAGGTTAATAATTAAAAAATAAGTCAATATAGTATTTTTTGAAATATTTTTTTGTTATCTTAAATTTGTTCAACTTAAAAAAAATTTGTATTGTTTTTAGACATTATTTTTATGTAGTGTTAATTAAGTAATTTAATTGTATCAAAGGTATTTTGGAATTTTATTACCTTTATACCTGCATTCCAATAAGCTGTGTGTTTACATATTGAAGGACGAGTGTACTTTAAATCGAAGGACATAACAAATAGATCGAATAAATCCTAAAGATAATTCAAGCAGTGGCATGTCGAGCATTGATCTGTTTAAACGTGTATAGTGTTAGTGTAAATTTTGTAATCGCAATTATCATTATTATTTTTTGTTTGATATTTTTGCACATCATTTGTAACGAGTATATTGGTAGCTTCGGGAGTGCTCGAATTTTTTTAATTCGTGAATCAAATAAAAACAATTTTAGTGTTAAATTTTTTTTTTACTTTATTTTATTTTGTCTCGGAAGTGTTAGAAATTCTCAAAATCGCGATGATCGCTTAAAGTTTCAATAAAAGTATCTTGTTTTTTAATTATTTAAACGTGATTTCGGGAGTGTTTGAAATTTTTAAATCGCGCGTGTCTCTCCAACACATTTTATCGTCCGAAATGTATGATGATACAACGTCTGCAGTTCAAGGTTAGAGATATATTTTTTTAAAATAATAATTATATGCAATTGTTTTAGTACTAAAATTTTTTTATTTTGTATGGAATATTATATAAAATATTATATATAATTATTTTTTTACTACAAGTTTTATTTATAACAATTTTAAATCGAACTTGAGGGTATGTGGGCAAAGGGCGTTTTTCTTGTGGTTTGAAACTTTCTCTGAAATAAAAAATGATTTCGGGTTAAAATTTTGGAGAAATGATTTAGTTTGGTACAAGGAATCTCGCTGTTCTACTCATTTACTACAACTTAACGCAAAAATAATAAAAATAAAGCAATAAATAGTAAAATAATGTGTTTTATCATAGTTCATTCAGCGGCCACTCGCTCGAATTGGCGCTGTTTACTGGAGCACTGACACACTCAAGCAACGTCTGTGTATGCGCCGCCATGTTTCTTTTCATTTTCGTTTAAAAATTAAACTCTTTAAACTTAAGTTTTAAATAATTTAACTCAAAATTATGTATTTTTCGGAGAACAGCGAGATTCTTTGTACCCTAATCTATCATCCCTCAAAAAAAAATCTTTTCTCATTTTAGAGTGAAATGTGTACTACCAAAACACATTTTCCCATAGTAGGTCACGTGGGAGGTTCCCACATACCCTTAAGTTATATAAATTTTAAATATTATTATCGCAATTCTAAATAAAAGGTTTCAAAAATTTTTAATTATTAATATATTTTTAAGAAAAAAAACCAAAAACGTTTTTAATTCTGAAAAAAACCATGGAAGGCCTCATAAATATAATTAAAAATTTAAACCAAACGGTTTAAAATAATATTACTTATTGATATATATTAATAGGAATAATAAGAATTTATTTTTCAATAAACAGTGTATAATTCTTCTTAACTTAAATTTCTTGTAATACAATTTATAAATGTAAACTAATAAATGCAAAATTCTATTTTAATATATATACATACATTAATTGACATTTGATATGTACAATAAATATTTTATTTTCTAAATGAATAATTAAAACCGCCACTGTCCTTGAATTCCAATATGTTTTTGAGGTCTTCCATGTGGCTCCTTGTTCATTCCCCCATTAACAACGACACTTCCGTGTTTATTTTCATAAATTGTACGACCATAGTCAATATTATATGATGAACCTCCTCCTTGTTTTTGACCCTCAACTGTGATACGATTTTTGTCATCAGCTGATCGTCTGAAGCGTCTCGAAAACTAAAACACAAAAAATTATTAACATTTTTCCCTAAATCAGGAGCTTTGCTTATATTTTCTTTTTATTATATGATTCAAAAAAGAAGTTAAAATTTGTTTTATAATGACGCTGTTTTCTTCGTAAACATGTGTACGAAAATTTACGAATGCGGAGTTAAAATGTAACCCACTCGGTGAAAACGGCGTCTTAGATAATAATTTTTATACACTGAAAATACAGTTTATTTAATTGAAAAAATAATTGACTGTTTCAATTAAATATTTATTTGATGATATGGTGAAATAACGGATTATATATGAATTAAATAAATTTTGTTTTTAGTGTAAATAATTTTAAATTCTTGGGAGAAAAATATTCACTTACACTTGGTCTGTTCCATTGACTTGGTCGGCTATTAGGAAACTTAGGTTGTGGAAAATGTGTATTTCGTGGTGGTCCTATTTGTGCGTGTGTAACTGCTATAAATGCTACAATTAGCATTACAATAGACAAAATATTCTTCATCTTGACTATTTTTTTTTTTTTAGTAATTATCAACTAAAAAATAAAAATTCAATTTTTTTAGTTTTAGAAGAAAAAAAAAAGATTTTTTAAAATCGTATATAATCTCTTCATTTGAATTAGTTGAAAATTCGTTCACTAATATTTGAATTAGTAAAAATTTCTACTAATTTCAACTAGTGAACGAATTCTTACTAATTGAAATTTAGAGTATATGTGACGCGATCTGAAGAAAAGGACCTTAGAAGCAAAAAGTTATAGGTTACGTTTAGAAATTTTAAAGTGAAAATACACAAAGACGTTCAACTCGTAATGCAAACTAATGATATTTAGGTCTTCATTGCATCCAAAATATTCAATTAAAATTTTACTAACAAAAATAAACTTTTAGTTCAAGTAAAACTATTGTAAACATAACCAATAATTCATTTGCTTCTAAGGTCCCTTTCTTCAGATCGCGTCACATATATATATATATGGATTTTTAATTATATCACAAATGCCTAATTTTAATTATGTTGACTGAGATGCTTACCTCTAATGGTACTGTGAATTAACCTTCTTATAGAAAGTTCAAGTAGCAATTGTATGATGTTTGAGATCAGAACACGTCTTTTATACGTTTATTCACTCATGCAAAAATAATAATCATAATGCTATAGTTTTTCTTCATCTCGATTTACTCTTGTGTGCATATACAAACAAATAAACACATTCATGTGTATGCGAAAGAATGAAATCGGGGAGTTTCAATAATCTGTTCTGCAAGACATATATTTGAGAATAATTTTCCACGACAACTGTCCAGCAGTAGTTTAACACTAGGCGAAGGTCACGATAAATTTCTACATAGAAAAAGATGCAAAGTAAACTAATCGAAGAACTGAGGAATATCCCAATATGTAGATATATAGTCTTAAAAGTAATATGATTCATGACGATAACTTTAATGCAAATTATATTATTAGAGATAACAGAGGAACTCCCCGAGTTTGTTCATTCGCATACACATATGAATGTGTTTCTTTGTTTTTACACAAGAGTAAGTCGAGATGAAGAAAAACTATAGCATTATGATTATTATTTTTGCATGAGTGAATAAACGTATAAAAGATGCGTTCTGATCTCAAACAGCATACAATTGCCACTTGAACTTTCTACAAGAAGGTTAATTCGCAGTACCATTAGAGGTAAGCATCTCAGTCAACATAATTAAAATTAAGCATTACTATTGTCATATAATTAAAAATTCATATATACAACCAGAGAAATGATAGATTGGTAAAAATAAAACATTTCTCTGGGTGTACTCTCTAAATTTCGATTAGTGAGAATTCGTTCACTATATTTCAAATTAGTAGAAATTTTCACTAAATTCTAATGAAATATTTCCATTCAATTTAGTGGTATTTTGTTTTTTTTTTACTTAAGCTTTGTTGAAAAATGATTAAAAATGATTAGAAAATTTTTACTAATTCAAATATTAGTAAATAAATTCTCCCTATAATTCAAATTTAGAAATTTTTTTTCTTTTTTTCTCCTAAAACTAAAAAAAATTGAATTTTTATTTTTTAGTGATAATTACTAAAAAAAAAATAGTCAAGATGAAGAATATTTTGTCTATTGTAATGCTAATTGTAGCATTTATAGCAGTTACACACGCACAAATAGGACCACCACGAAATACACATTTTCCACAACCTAAGTTTCCTAATAGCCGACCAAGTCAATGGAACAGACCAAGTGTAAGTGAATATTTTTCTCCCAAGAATTTAAAATTTTTGTACACTAAAAACAAAATTTAATTAATTCATATATAATCCGTTATTTTACCATATCATCAAATAAATATTTCATTTAAACAAATAATTATTATTTCAATTAAATAAACTGTATTTTCAGTGTATAAAAATTATCTAAGTCGCCGTTTTCACTGAGTGGGTTAAATATTTTAACTCTGCATTCGTAAATTTTCGTACTCATGTTTACGAAGAAAACAGCGTCATTATAAAACAAATTTTAACTTCTTTTTTTAATCATATAATAAAAAGGAAATTTAAGCAAAGCTCCTGATTTAGGGAAAAATGTTAATAATTTTTTGTGTTTTAGTTTTCGAGACGCTTCAGACGATCAGCTGATGACAAAAATCGTGTCACAGTTGAGGGTCAAAAACAAGGAGGAGGTTCATCATATAATATTGACTATGGTCGTACAATTTATGAAAATAAACACGGAAGTGTCGTTGTCAATGGGGGAATGAACAAGGAGCCACATGGAAGACCTCAAAAACATATTGGAATTCAAGGACAGTGGCGGTTTTAATTACCTATTAATTTAGAAAATAAAATATTTATTGTACATATCGAATATCAATTAATGTATGTATATATATTTTAAACTAGAATTTTGCATTTATTAGTTTACATTTATAAATTGTATTACTAGAAATTTAAGTTAAGAAGAAATATACACTGTTTATTGAAAAATAAATTTTTATTATTCCTATTAGTATATATCAATAAGTAATATTATTTTAAATTTTGGTTTAAATTTTTAATTATATTTATGAGGCCTTCCATGGTTTTTTTCAGAATTAAACACGTTTTTGGTTGTTTTTCTTACAAATATATTAATAATTAAAAATTTTTGAAACCTTTTATTTAGAACTAGCTAAAAGAAACGCGCGTAAACGCGCGAGATATCTGCAATTTTTTATGAAAAATTTATTTTTATTTGACGGACACTTTTTGGAATTTTGATCTCACAAAAATAATAATATTATTTTTGTAATCGTTACTGTATTACTATTTCAACATTATGGTGTTATAATAATATAATACCTATTATTGCCCAGTCAATATGACCTTTAAATTTTGTACTCAAATAAAGATTATACAATGCTACGATCGTCGAATTGTCAGCAATACATTTAAATGACCCATCTCAGGATCCATGCAAGGTGAATTCCTATTTTGTTTACCACAAGGCCCATGAACTTAAAATCGCTTTACAATGTTAAAAAGTTCTGGATTCTTTATTTCGTCTGTGATTTCAGCACATATCATTTTATTTAAAGTTTCTGAATCGCAAATTTGTGTACGTAAACAAATAGTTAAACGCACATGTGTCAATCCACGCTTTTTTCTTCACTATGAAAGACGATACATATAAAATTGTAAATGAATAAAATTACAAGTACCTTGAGTATGCTTAAGGTTAACAGTCCATCCAGGATCACCATAAGGAAACATTGTAGGATATGTCATAGGATCAAAATTTTCCCTAACAATAAGACTAGAAATTATTTTCTTATTATTTTCTGTTGTGCATACTGAATTTACATCAACATGTAAATCCCTCTTCAATTTCTGTAGATAATTTCTTCATCTTACAGGACAAACTTTTTTCTTTGGGTATTTTCTTTTCATTCTCAGTTTCAGTAGACAGAACTCTGTTGTCATTTTTACTGGGAAAAGTCTTTAAAAAATATGAAAGGTTTAGTTCACCATTTTCAACTTCTTTAGCTCGATTTATGAAAAGACAATTCCAATCATTCTCTACAAATCGAAATCCTAATATTAGACATTCTAACTGCCGGAAAATTATTTAATTAATTGTTTTCAAAAAATGATATCAAATGCTTGCTCATTATATTATTATCAGTTTCATAAATTAATCTTTTAATTTACACTGTTAACCAATACAGATGTTGCAAATGCTATTGCATTATACTTTACACTTAACTGTACCAATCGGTTGTTGATCAACATCTACAAAAAATTCTGTTGGTTTGAAAGGAAACAATCTAATTAAATATTCTATTTGGTGAATATTCAAACACCCTGCATTAAGGCTATCAAAAATATAAAGTCTTACTCCATCGTAATAAACACAAATCCAATGACCAGCATTGTTATTACCGCTAAAAACTATTTGAATATGTTTAACTCTTTCTCTAATTGGAACAATTAAATCAAGCATTTGTAAATACAAAGTACTTTGCATAATGAAAAAAGAATTTGAATCATTTTTTGATAATTCTTGAAATTTATACATGTTCATATCATTTAACATTTCATTTACATTTTCAATAATTTTAAAATCTTCATTACTTAAAATAAAATACTCTTCTATGTTCGACATGGTATCCTTCTTCAACTTTCAAACTGTTGATAAAGCCAATTTTCAAAACAAATCGTTTATTTTAGTTTATTGCTTTAAAAAATTTACTTACATGTGTTTCACCTATAAAATATTGCATTAACTATAATTCAGCTAACTTATGCAACAATGATAGTCTTTTATGAACGTGAATTAGCGTTGTTTAATCTTTTTCCACATTACATCATTTTCGATAATGATTATTATTAAACTTATTTTCCTCTGCACTTTTTATTAATATTCAAATCAATATTCAACTCACAAACTATTATTTAACCCATAAAACAATTTTAACCCTTAAAACAATATTCAAACCTCTTTCTATCTATTTAAATACTTTTCCAAAAGCCAGCATCCTCTATTCTCAAACAGTCAATATTTTTTTTTCAATATCGAAATATATTCAATGCCAATGTTATCCAATATCATATTTTATTATCCTCAAAATCCAAATATCTTTAATGCCAAAATTACCCAATACCAAAAAATTTTTCCAAAAGACAGCTTCCACTATTATAAAACAATCAATATTTTTGTTGCATTATTAAAATATATTCAATACTAATGTTATCCAATATCTTTCTTTATCCTCAAAATCGTAATATCTTTAATGCCAATGTTATTTAATACCAAAAAAACTAAATGGATTGAAGTATTTTTTATATGAAACATTTAGGACAACCAAAAGAAACAAATATCTTCAATACCAATATCATGCCATATCCATATTTATCTTTAAAATACATATATAATTATTAATACTATACAAAAATAGGAATATATTTTTTGGGCCCAATACAAAAATGAAAAAGACAAATATAATATAAGAAGATTCAACACCTGCAGTAAGTTATTGATCGACAAATTGCAGAAAAATATTATAAACTTTATAATAATCAAGTTAAGTTACCTGAGACTATTAGAATCTTTTTTTATCAACACTACTACAATGTTGTTGAAACGGTAGTCGGTTGCTCTATGTTTATCTTACATCAGCAGTAGCCGTTTCACTCCATTGAGGAGAAGTGTTATACCCCCACTCTACCAATCTGGGCCTATATTAAGTTCTCGCGAGTGGCAGATATTACGGTAGGCCTGAGTGGCATCCTCGGGGATAGGTGTTGGTAAGTTAAGTATGAATACACCACTTCCACTCACTGGGATTAAACGGTTATCATCTATATCGCATATACAATAATAAAAAAATTTCCCTCAACCCAAGACTGTTAGGACGAATCGAGCGATCACGGATTGGGTCCTGAAAAGGGAAGTGGTATATCTTCATTCTATCGGCCTGTCCCGGGCTCAGACCTCGAGTAAGTCAATTACAGCGGGGGCCTGTATGACGTTCTCGGGCTTAATGACAATATTATTTTATGACGCTTAATGAGTTTTTCAAAAAAATTATAAAATTTTTAAATATAAACACTGTTTAATTTATTTTGACATATTCGTTTTCCTCAGAAGTTCACGATTACGATCATATATTGCTCCAATAATAACACAGGCACAAAAAAAAATTCAGGTCCCAAAAAACACAACCCCATATTCCTATGTTTTTGTGGTCGCTGAAACCGAATATGACCATTAACAATTTTTTTGACGACCCATTTTCCCGCAACCACCCCTTGCACCTACTCACGGGGGTTGGAGTTTCAAAT